ATAAATAAGATTTGAATCACATAATTTAGTAAGATTTTTATTACTGTTATTTTATTTTCTCATTTAGAACGTACTGTATAATTAAGTAAGTTTTTAACTTCTATTATTTTCCTTTCTCATTTTGAATGTATTGTGTGTTTTAGGTTCTCATGTTCTTAAGTTCTTATTTCAAGTCTCAAGTGCGTTTATTCGCGACTGAATTACGGAGAAGAAAATATAATATTGTTACATGTTCAACATTCACCATTAGTACATGGTGAATGTTGACATTGACCATTTATTATTGCGAATTAAATCATGCTTAATCCTTTCTGGAATTTTTCTAAGAAATAAGTAATTAAGAAGAAAATTGATATTTTGAGTTTTTATGTATTTTTGTATTGTCGCGAAGTGAGAACTGAATTAATTGAATGAGAAATACTCAATCGTCTGTGAAAAACTGTTTCTTTTTTGTTTTGTTTGCTTAATTGCTTTTATACATCGTTCTAGCTTTATTATAGGATTTGAATAGAACATGAGGCAACGATTAGATAATTCTTTAAATGATATAAATTTTGTGCATTCTGTGTTATAATATGAACGAAATATAATACTGTTAAGTGAATCTAGCGCCAGAGTGTCGCTATGGTAAACAAATAGAGTGAATTTTAAAGAATGCATTTATTCTATTGTGGTTTATGCGCTGTCGGCGAAGTAGATTTAATTCAATCCAATAAGTTTAAACGAAATGCAAGAAAAAATGCGTATAATTTAATATTCCGTACAAGGAAGTCATGTGGTGTACACATCAGATTTTTATAATAAGGTAACATGCGCTAAACAGTTTTGATAGAAAGAATGGCAAAGAAACCGCTTAAGCTTTATAATTTGGACTTTTTGAATAGAACCGCTCGCGCGCTATTGGGCTTTCTCAGCTTACGAAATATGTATTTTAAGTTGGTTATTTACATAACAGAAGAACAAAATACAGATTATAAATAGTGCATTTTACTGACAAAACTTTCTTTGAAAAAAAAAAAAAATAAATAAAAGTACTGCAAAGAATAAGAGATATAGTTAACTTAACGGCGGCCGATAATCAGTGCTGGTGCATATGTTTTTGCAGAGAAAATCATTTTGCTCGTGCTGTCGTATAACAAAAAATATCCATAGATTATTTTTTACAGTTGTTAAAATAGTCCTGGACTATCTGTTTTAAGAGAATACCTTCTTGGAAAATTTTCAAATTGAAATTGGCTTGAACTCGCATAACGCATGGGGAAAATTATAAAGACACCAAGCCGCTAACTTGTTTGGTTGCTAGCGACAAATCCAGAACAAACATCAACATCCAGTACTCTTATTCACTCTAGTGAACGTAAATATTTGTTTGTATATTAGTAATAGTATTAAAATAAAAAATATTATTCTAATAAAAGCTGTTGTTCAAAAATACACCCTTGTAAGGCATTTTCTTTGGTTAAGGGACTTCATGTGAATAATTAATTCTACGTTGAAGCAAGACAATTTCTTAGAACTTAATGCTTCAAACAATTGAATGCTGGGATTCCTAGGGAAGAAAATATCCTCAAAAAGTATATTCCACAAAAAATATTGAATTATAATCTTATAATGACTTATTAAATAATTAATAATTGTTATAATTATTAAATATAAAGCTTACTTATTTTTTACAAAATGTACAATAATACCCTTTATTTACAAAAATACCATACTGAACAATTATATTATAAGCTAATAAAATAACAACATTGTATTGTTTCTTATTAACTATGTGTCATCTTTCCTTTTCAGCTTTCTGTTATAGGATAATGTTTTTAATCCTATTTCAGACAAAGTGTACTGGTGTTTCAAGGACGGGAAGGCAAGAATTTTTAAATTTAGTCAATAAATTTATGATCAACTGAAAATTCATAAAGAAAAACTATTTCAGGTTAAAATTCAATTTCAGAATATCTTGAACGTATATAAAAAAGTGTGAAATGCAAATTTGACACTGATATTATCACTGTTTCAGCCCTTAAATAACTCCTAAATGTTTTGTTTATTGCTCTTAAAAACAGATCAGGTGTTTAAAAGTTAATACCATAATTTTTGTATTATTAAAAAAAAATCTCGAAATTATTGCTAAAGAAAAAGCAGAAACAAAGGCATTATTATTTATTTATACCTAGGGCAAATTTAATTTCTTTGAGATCGAGAAGATATTTTAAAGCAAATGTTTATGCTATATCCTGAAATCACCTAATTTTTTGTTTTCATAAATCAGATGAAAAAGTCACATTTGAAACCCATCCCTTTTTCAAATCAGCTAGCTATCCAGGTATAATCATGAAAATCTTGTTCCGCTCTTGAAATTAAGATATTCAGTTACCAAATCTTAGCTCGCTGAATAATTAACTTTACTTAAAAGAACATATTTGGTATACATTAAGTATATATTGTTCATTCAAAAAACGAAATCTTTTCAGAAAATAACATCCGTTTTAAAAACTAAGTAAATTTCAGCATTAAATATGCTTTAAAAGTTTAAATTTTGAAATCTCCTTAATATTTAACTATAGTTTCTCTAAAAGCAAGTTTAAAAGTCACATCAAGTTAAGTTGATTAAATTTGCCAGAAATAATAAAACAGATATTTTTCATAGTAATTATTCAAATATTATGCTAAATATCTTAAATTATAGGTAATATTTAAGTAAAAAGAAATTTAAAATAATTATTATCTGCATGTAAATGCATTTCTAATTTATGACAAAAACATGGAAAATCAGAAATAATATCAAATGCAATCGAACTATAAACATTGCTTTTCAAATGTTTCAGCAATCTCACAGAAGGAATGAATATTGCACCAGATATTTTTTAATATGGATTTTATTAATAGCAGTTTAACCAATCTGCATTGAAATTCTGATGATAATCAATGACCCAGAGATTTAGGTAACTTAGATTAAACATGAAAAATAATAATAAAAGAAAGCGGGTAAATTTTAAAATCAAGTTATTTCAAAATAAGAGTCTTTTAGGAAAGAAAAACCTTTAAGATAGTATTCGCACCTGTACCCTGCGGCATTCGGACGGTCATCACGGAGAAGCTATTATAGTCATTTGCAACTTTCTTGACAACTCACATCTACAGGTACTAATATTTATGGTAGTAATCCATCTCACTTACAGTCGGAACCCTTGATCTAGTATTCAGGGAGGGGAAAGAAATAACAATAGCAGTAGCTGGCATTTTTCAGAGGTTTAGGGTTATTTTCCCGACATTTTAAGGGAAGCTCGGTCCAAAATTGGTGACAGTTTTAAAGGTATTTGTAGAAAATAACTCGACGGGCTAAGGGCTAGAGAATTTACCTGTTTGTGCAAAAATTTCTCTTGGGTCAAAGTTATTCATCTGAATGCAAGGAAGTATTTGCTCAATTGAGAGTGCATTTTTCTCTATGAAGGCAATCGCTTTCGATAGCTCCGTCGGTTCTGGATCTTTTGGATCATACATAGTTTGTAAATCAAATTATACACCTGATACTGGATACGAAACACTATCTGACGGCCTACTTAGAAATTAGTAGCGCAATCTTCACATTTATAGACGATGTAGATGCCGTTACGCATCCTGTTTTGTGCGCATTCTAATCATTTGTACCACCCTAGCATTTAATACCTCTCACGAAAATTTGACGTTTGTTCCATGCCGCCTACATGGTGTAGCAATTTGAATGGCCACCGGTGTGTAGATATGAGAAATAAAACTTTGTTAGCACATTAAAAAAATTAAACAGAATATGATCAAAGAAGGTTTCATCCAAATCAAATATAAGGCTAATTTTTAATCAGATGATTTTTAATACTGTTAGCGGTTAAATTCCATAAAATTTTAATACCACATTTCTTTTTGATGTAAACTCGGGTTCATCTGCTTTTCATTGAAATATTTTTTTATAAGCAACTAAATTAGTGAAGGGATATGTTCTTAACCTGAAGCATTAAAATTTTTACATTTTTTGAAATGACAGATTTGAAAAATACAATTAAATTCATTCATTAATAATGCATACACATATTATCAAATCTTTAATTAGTTTAAATACAGAAAAATAAAGTAATAATTAGCTTCAGTTTAACATATCATTAGTGCTCATTTTCCTTATTAATTAATTTACTCTACAGTATCTTGCCATAATGTTGTTATACTTATGCAAAAAGTAATTTATTAACTCCCTATATGATAACTCAACAAAAATACAATTAATTATTTCCTCGAAAAATGCTAATATTTACGCTTACTAATCTTACGAAATCAATATCTTCTATATTTAACGTAGCAATCAATAATACTTTTCATAGAAGATGAACTCTATATACAATTTTTTACCTACTGTAATTCCTTTTCCATAGTTGATTCAGAGAATTAAGTTTTCAAGTAAGTCTTTATTAACTAACAGGCCTTCTTTTGCTAATCTTAATTTTTCATTTAGTTCTGTAGCAAGCATACACTCTGAATCTGTTTCACCAAGACTTTGGCTGGCACTTTCCTACTTTGAATTCAGATATCTCCAGTTTTTTCTCTACCGTTTCATCTAAATGTATAACATATGCCTCACTCAGTTTTAGCTAAAATTCTCCGCACATTCTACTTTTTAATGCTCTTCACGGAAGCAAGTAATGAAACTAACATATCAGCAACATTTTATGTAGCATGCTTTTAGCCTTCAACACGCAGCAATTTTTTTTTATGTTAAGTTACATTTTTTATCAGTCTTAAAATATATCGATTCGATAAATTTGTAGAATATTTAACTACTAATCCGATTCTATAACAATACTTGAAAATTGAATTTATTAGCTATTATTAATAACCAGGCTTTCTCTCTGTTAATTTTAATTGGAAATCGAAAATCTTTCCAAAATGCAAATAAACGTGAATCAAATTTTTGGATCTATTGATCTATTAAATGATTTTTCATGCAATTTTTTTCCCTTTCTCTCATTTTGCAGATTGAATTTGTGAAAGAATTACCCAAAACAACGAGTGGGAAAATCAAGCGTTTCGAGTTGAGAGAAAAGGAATGGAAGAAAAAATAAATGCGCATGTTACAAATTGCATTCTGAATAAAATATATGTTTTAAAAAATTTCTCAACAAAATAAAAAATAAATCATATCATTAATTTGAGCAATAAGATAACTTACTTTTTTTATATAATTTCAATAGCAAATATGCTAGTATCAAAAACCAAAAGACGTTATAGATTTTTACTTTAGTATGAAATATTTCAGCAGTCGAATGTGAAAACAAATGCACAACTAGCATACTAACATTAAATAAATAATTTAGATTAAAATTTAATTAGTAATTTAACAGATATTAATTTCCAAAAAACACAGGTGAAAAATAATTTACGATGCTCAACAACAACCAGAATGAGAGAGTCTGGAATACGTCCACTTTGAATTCCGATGCGACTTTCCCAGCGCCGTAATGTATTAGAAACGATATGAAAGTTCCTCGGGGGGGGAGGGTAATTTGCCGGTTCCCAATTCAGCACAGGAAGTGAGATTCTGTGTTTTTCCTCCTCCCGCCATTTGCAGAGGGAGGAGATGAGTGTTCGATAGAAATGCGACCTCAAAAGTCTGCTCGTCGGTCCATGCGATTAATATCCTTGGATCTCCAGATGTACTCCGCAATACACCTCTGCGATGAAGTGTTATCATCCATGAAAATAAATTTCATACAGCACCTCGTAACAGTCGGACGTAATATTGAAGAAATTACAATTGCAATATCGCTCGCCAGTCTCATTTTTTAGCCCCTTTACTTAATACTTCCCTTCATTATGATGCTTTTAGAATGGTGGATGAGCAATGTAGAATAAACAATGTTTGTGTACAACTTGGTAATCATCACTGAGCACATACCAACATATAAAAAACAACACATGGGGCAGTCGAGTCGGTCGTAGATTAAAAAAGAAAATCTGTGTTGGAGAACCATGCAGCGTCGGTAAAGATATTCCAAACAAAAATATGATGGAAAGTTGTTTATAGTGAAATCGAAACTTCTATCGCTCATAAGTGCGCTGTTTATTTTTATTTGAAGTGGCTAAAAATACGTATATATAAACTATTTAAAGTCCTAACTTAAATATGGATGGATTAAAGCCATTAAGTAATCTAAATTTCGAAGGTAATTTAGGCGAAAATTGGAAGAAATGGAAACAAAAATTCCAAATTTATATGTTAGCGTCTGGTGGTATTACTAAATCACCTGAAATTTAAGTAGCTGTTTTATTGCATATTATTGGTGAAGAAGCACTTGATACTTTTAATTTAAGTGAAGAAGATAAGAAGGATGTTGACAAAGTAATTGAAGCTTTCGAAAATTTTTGCATACTGAAAGCAAACGAAAGTGTTGATAGACATATATTTTTCTGTCGAACACAACATGTAGGTTAATCGTTTGATGATTATTACCCGATTTAAAGAAATTAAGTAGCAACTGTGGATTTTCAGAATTAAAAGCTAGTTTAATAAGAGATAGAATAGTAAGTGGAATTCTAAATAAAAATCTCAAAGATAGATTCTTAAGGGAAGATCAATTAACATTGGAGAAATGTATTAAAATGTGTAAAACTTCTGAATTAGCAGAATACTTCAGCTGAAAAAACTTTAACTGAAGAAAATAAAATAAAAGCGATCAAACGTAATAAATTTCCATACCTTTCAGAGGAAAAAAGTCAGCCTTGTAAGAAAAAACTATCATGTAAAACAAAAGCAACAAAGTACTTAAATCTTCTTCAAACTATCAAGGAAATAAGTACAATAATCCAAAACCATGTAGAAAATGTGGAACTTTTCATAAGTTATACAATTGTCCTGCTTATAATAAGATTTGCTTGTACTGTAAAAAGAAAAATCACTTTTCTAAAATGTGCACTTATAAAAATGTTAATGTCGTACAGAATAATTTAGAGCATGAGTTACATAATAATGGTAATGAATATATTTTAGGGTCAGTAGAAGATACAAATCCATTTTCTAAAAATAGAACAGAATGGTTTGAAAAACTAAAAGTAAACATATCTAAATATTTATTTGTTAAGTTGGATACTGGAGCTCAGTGTAATGTGTTACCATTGCCTAAATTTAAACAATTAAATTTAAGAGATAAATGTTTGACTAAATCAAAAGTCATTTTAAATAATTACAATGGCATTACAATTGATGTATTCGGAAAATGTAAATTACTATGTGAAACATGAAAAGGGAACAAGGATGAAGTAGAATTTCAAGTCGTAGCATGTGATAAAACTGTTCCAGCTATTTTAGGTTTACCTACATTGCACAAATTAAACCTAATACAAAGGATTTGTACAGTAAATCCTGATTCCAATGAAAAGTTACCAGAATCCTTAAAAAGATATCAAGATTTGTTTAAAGGAATTGGAAATCTAACTGGATATACGTATCATATTAAATTAAAACCAGGAGCTGTTGGTAAAATAGAACCCTGTAGGAAAATTCCACTTAGCTTATTAAGTTCATTAAAAAAGAAATTAGCAAGAATGGAAAAAGATGGTATTATCAAGAAAGTTAACCAACCAACAGAATTCGTGAATTCATTAGTGGTAGTAAGGAAAAAGGATGGTAATTTAAGAGTGTGTTTATATTCTCAGCACCTTAACCAAAATATACAGAGAGTACATTATCACATACCAACCTTTGAAGAAATTTCATCTCAAATGACAAATGCAAATGTCTTTAGTATTTTAGATACAAACAAAGCATTTTGGCAAATTAAACTGTCAGATTCAAGTTGTGAATTTACTACATTTAACACTCCGTTTGGTAGATATTGTTTTTTGAGGTTGCCATATGGAATGAATTCAACACCAGAAGTTTTCTACAGAAGTTTTTCTGAAATTTTTAGTGATTTAGAAGGAGTTCAAATATATATAGATGACTTATTAGTTTGGGGTAAAGATAAAAAAAGAGCATGATTTAAGATTAAAGAAGTTGTTGGACGGAGCCAGAGAAAAGAATGTTAAATTTAATTTAAATAAATGTGAATTTGGGCTGAATGAAGTGAAATATATGGGACATATATTTTCTAAAGATGGTTTAAAACCAGATGAAGACAAAATTAAGGCTATTCTAGATATAAAACCACCAAAAAAATGTGAAAGAATTAGAATCTTTCCTAGGAATGATTGCATATGTTTCTAGATTTGTACCTAATGTATCAGAATTGACATCATGTTCAAGAGATTTATTGAAAAAAAAATTATCTGGAATTGGAATGCAGTACATGAAAAAGCCTAAACGTCTTAGTAAATAAGCCTAATAATTACTTACTTAGTCAGTAAAGTAAGTCCAGTAAGCTAAGTAAAGAAGTCAGTAAAGTAAGTTAGTACCAGTAAGTCTTAGTAAATAAACCAGTTTTACAGTATTATGATATAAACATGCTTGTAGATGCATCTCAAGAAGGACTAGGAGCAGTCTTACTGCAGAATAATTTACCAGTAGCATATGCATCTAAGGCATTAACAGATACACAGAAGAATTATGCTTAAATTGAAAAGGAAACTTTAGCTATTGTATTTGCGTGTGAGAAATTTCACCAGTATACTATATTTGGAAAATATATTACTGTGGAAAGTGACCATAAACTTTCCACAGTAATTTTCAAAAAGCCATTAAATAAATGCATGTAAGACTACAAAGAATAGTGATGAGTCGGTACTACCGAACCGGGTATTTTTGTAACGGGTACTGAAAATCGGTACATCCGTTACTAGTACAAGTAGTTACTAGTTAAGTACAAGTACCCGTTACTCCAGTACCGAAATCGGTATTTTTCGGTATTCGTTACTTCTGTACCGAAACGGGTGCTTTTCGGTATTTTCGAAAACGGGTGCTTTTCGGCTACTTTGTAACGAAAATATGCGTCTCTTCTCGGTATTTCGGTATTCGTTACTGGAGGATCGATGAGGGTTCAGCTCACTTCGGTTTTGGTACGAGGACAGTAGTATCTGGTTGTATTTGCGAAATGGTGATATGCGCTCCTTATGTCCATGAATGGCCTGCTCCTCAGACACTTCCGTAGTTGACATGTTTTCTGATATTCAAAATCTTACTCCGTACAGATAAAATCAAACACGTGGTGACGGGGCTGTTTGTCACCTTCAGTGCGCAAAATCGTTAGCTTCGTATTTCGGTACTCCAAATCGTTACTAGGACACTTCGGTACTCCAAATCGTTACTAGGGTACTTTGGTACTCCAAATCGTTACTAGGGTACTTCGGTACTCCAAATTGTTACTAGGGTACTCCGGTACAGCAAACCGTTACTTCGGTACTCCAAATCGTTACTTGGGTACTCGGTATTTGAAATCCGTTTTCGGTACTTTTCAAAGTAACGGTTACTTGAGTAACGGGTATTTTGTACCGGGTACCGTTACTCTCGTACCGGGTACAAGAAAGTACCGAAGTTGCCCATCACTAACAAAGAATGCGTATAAGATTACAGCCATATCAGTTTGAGATAAAATACAAACCAAGAAAAGAACTTTTTATATCGGTTGCATTATCAAGATCATTCACTGATAAAGGATCTGATTTCTTTGAAGGAGATGTGGTTGCTTGCTAAGTTCTTTTTATAATAATTTAAATAGCAAAAATCAAAAAGCAAGAATCAATATTTTCCATATATAACATCTTTATTATTCTTTGTAGCCCTCACTAACTCCTTACTGATTTCAGGCATGACAACCTTAGAAACTAAACTGAAACTAAAGGTGAAGTGAAAGTAGTAGTCATTATCTAGTAGAAGTAGTTGTAGTTATTATGACCAATAATAATTGTTGCCTACATCACTCCCCTACCAGTAACAAAGTTACGTTACTCTGAAAACATGGTGGGAGAGAAGATACAAATATCTATACAAATAACACTGATACAAATATATAAATTGAAATTATGTACACAAAAAAACATAATTAAGTTTTAAATTAATATGAAAGAGTTATAAGTTCAAGAAGAGTCAATAACGTCATTGAAACGAACTGGAAGTTTTACTTGTCTTCCACATCGTGTTAATTTTTTAGGTTGTTCTAGTTGCTGACTTGGCACTGATGTTTGCTTACTTGGCACAGATGTATGATCACTTTTTGAAGTT